TCTGTGTCTTGGCACTGCGCTTGGGCGACATGGCCACCCGACCCAAGGGAAAACGTGGAGCTCGGAGCGTCGCCGCAATCACGCACGCCCCGCGCTCGGGCCCAGATGTCAAGAGATAATGGAGAGTCGTCCAGCTTCAGCTAAGCCGATTGGCACCGGCAGTCAGGCCGCGATCATGCTCGATCGCATCAAATACAGGGTTGAGAGAATTGTTAAACAGGGTTGAGAGAATTGATAACCAATCAATTCCGATACAATACGACGCCAGGTGCACCATCGATTGGGTGGCACAACTAGGGATCGGGACAGGGTTTGAAAGCCGCAAAGGCGAGAATGACGGGCGAAGCTACGGCCGAGTCAACGGTTAGGCGGGCTGCAGTAAGCGAACTGCTTGGCCCCGAGCCCAGGACAATGCGCTTGTGGCCGATGGCCGTGCCATTGGCAAAGGGCATCCAGTCACCGGTTTCCACCTGCACATCGATGTGCCATTGTCGCACACGCTCGCCAAAGTCAATGTCTTCCTGCAAGATAAATCGATCAACAGGAGTGGCTGGCGATGGCAAGGTCAGCAAGACTGAGCTACTGTTGCCACTCATATTGGCTACTGGCATGCCGTAGCACGCTCGAGTCCATGCACCAAGTGCGTGGTACACCGCCGAGGCATCACTTGGTACATTGCCCGTGTCGTCGATCGCAAAGTCCAGCTCAAGCACCTGATTGTTGCCAACCGTCATGTGATACACCTGCCGCGAAGTGGTGAGATGACTTGTCAGTGCGATCAGATGACCGCGGTCAAGGACTCGTCGCTCCAACACACCTCCACCATCTGCTGCACGGAGCGAAGAGCAAATCCAGGCCGCCAAAACCAATGGCCATTTTGCACTTGCAGGGTTCAAAGTTTAGGAGTGTTCATTGCGATGCAGCACGAGAGTGAGATGAAAAGACGTCAGGATGCCCTGTTCAATCGCTGGACGTACGTAGGTGTCACCCCCAACGGGACAGTAGTCGTTGGCAGTTGGATCGCCTTGGACAACAGAGCAGCCCGTCGCCCAAGTGGGATAACCAGCCAAGCCGCTTTCCGTGCCCACACACCACAGGTAAGAAAAGTACGCAGTGTAGCGGCACATTTCACCCACAATTGAAAGACCAGCACAAAACCCACACGCAGGTGAAGTCAAGAAGAGTGAAGCAAAAAAGCGCATCGAGCAGCGGGTTTGTTTGGTACGAACTTGATGGGGCTGGTCATGATCCCCTGTCCGTTGAAGCCCACGACTTGGGGCTGATACTGCTTGAGCAATGCGGCTAGCTGCTGATCCTGATCCGCCGAGACCCCATGATCAAACCAGATTTCAAAGAGCGATCCAAAGCGCGTCCACAGCTCTTTGACGTGCTCAAAGACCAGGATATTGTATTGTTCGTCAGTTAAATCTACTTGGCCTGGTAAGGGGTTGCCAATGCGCTTGAAGCCATCTCGGTTGAGAAAGTAGTTGTTGCCAGTGCTGTAGTAATAGCCATATCCCAGGCCGGCTGCCCCCAAGGTGGAGCTAAATTCGGCAATGACGTCGCGCTGAAAGCTTGGGTAGGAACTGCGTGCCACTGCAAAGGGATACTCCGTTCCATTTGGCAAGGTGGTCGAGGTATTCCAGAGTCAAAAGCCGCAGCCGTGTTTGGCGGTGAGGACGGCGTGCTTGGCACCCACAGCCCGGTAGTTTTCAACCCAATTGGAGATGCTTAGCCGTGTGGGGTCAAAAAGGGAGGCGTGTGAGCTATGGACACCCACATTCCAGTTGGTGGGGTTGCAAGCTGGATCGCCGTCCTCCACAAAAGTAGCCATGTTAAAGTGTGTCAACTACCATGCGATCAAGCAACGCCGCCAAGTCAAGACGTAAGCCAGAGCGGGGCAGGTCTTGGGTAAGCGGAGAAAAAAGAGTCGTTCAAAAGCAAGCGGCGAGCACACAGAAGGCAGGATCTGCAGCGATATTCCTCATGAAAAGATCAAGGTCAATGCAATAGTTTCGGCGTCAAACTTACGCCCATAATCTCATGACGCTGATATGCGGCTTGTTCAGGGGTAGGAACGGGGACTTGGTTCGTGGCGCATGGCATTTTGCTCCATTCGGCGCGACAGGCAGCCTGCGTTTCGTGGCGCTGGACTGTCACGCACCACGGGTCAAGCCAGCCCTCGGCGCCGCGGGGCTGCACTCCAGTGAGCGCTCTGTCACACACGTATTGTGTGACAGTGGCCCGGCCCTTTGGACAGGTCTACCCAATCAATCGAGCAAAAGTTGATTCAATATTCACAAGATCAAGATCGTGAGTTTAGTCGCGTGCTCCCACCAGCGCGAAATGCCATAAGCAGGGCTTACCGCTGTCACAGGATGACGCTGAACCACGGCCAAGCCGGCTCGATGGTCATCAATGGCCACAATCTGTGTTTCTTGGGAAGCCACCCAACCCTTGAGCTGGGGCAGCTCTGGGAACCGATAGCTTCCCATGCCCCGTTCATCGAGGACGCAAGGCATATCCGCCGCCGCGCATGGCAACTGTCTGACGAGACACAACGCCAATATCCCCAGTAGGAGCGCTTGCACGGGCACTATCCCGCCCATGTTTTTGGTGGCACGGGCAGACAGATCAAACACAAACAAATGTGTGAGGCGCAGTCAAAATTCCTAGTACATGTAACTTGTTTTTCTGACGAATGGAGTTAGCAGCATGACCATGAGCGTTGGTGAGGTGAGAGGAGCTTCCAAAAACACCAAACTTGTGACGCGCCACGACGCTGCCACGACGACTGCCAAAACAGTCTGACATTTTCATTTCGTTCGCGTTCTCGAGTTACAGCTGAATCTTTGACGAGTCAGCTCGCATGCATCAAACAACCATAACTTGTCTCAGACAACAAGCGCAGAAAAAATTTTTTCTTCTCCAGATGCGCAAAGCCCAGCTCTTCAAAAGTCGTTTGCAGGTGTTTTTGGCTTGTTTGGGAAAGAAACCGAGTCTGACAAAAACAAGTTATTGACTGCGCCTCACGCGCCATGATGACAACCATATAACACACATCAACGGCTGACAAAAATTCTGACAAAAATTCTGACAACGAACAAGTCATTTGTCACTGACTTCGCTCGCGGAAGGTCCGCGGTTCCTCCCCGCGCTCCTGTTGACGCGATGGCGGTCGGGCTGCCTGCGGGCCTGGCGCGGGGGTCATGGCGGCGCTATGGGACCGTCGTAATGGTACTGAATGTATTTATGTTGCTGATCATTGCTTGGTACCGCCGACACCGCTCCAGCATTTCC